AATCAAATTAATGCTTTAGAAACAGCAAGACATGCACTATGAGCTACCCAAAGTATATTGATAGATATCATCGCGTTGATCTGTACGAGCGAAAAGAAATGCACAATTTTCGGCCATTTTCGGCAGTGTCAGGCAGCTAAAATGGCGATTTTCAAACTTTCCTCAATTTCGAAAAAACTAAAGCGCTTCAGGACCTTTGAATGGTATTTTCGAAAACAACTCACTATAGAGGTGTTTTGGGCAAAATATGAAGAAATCGAAAATTTCGCGACTGTCATCCCATTCTCGGTATTTACAGGAACTGGCTCTTAAACAACTGCTGTCAACAAAGTGTTTTTTCTATTTAAACAATAGAGTGTTTCTGTTGAGGAACTATCAGGTGATAGTAACCCTGCGGAAATTTGATGTTCTTAAAACAAATATTTGCCCGAGAAGTGAAGCTTCAAGGGCAAATAGGCTAGTTTTAAGAGCATCAAATTTCCAAGGGGAAACTATCAGACCGATAGTTCTGAGACGTAAACAGTACTCTACTGTCTTTATTGTTCACCACTAAATCTTCTTCTTTGCACCAGTTCAAAAATCAGATTGAATTATTTTCAACTTTTCTAGATGAAACCAGTGAAATTGAAAATGAAAACAGGGAAAAACCACTTAATACAATTTCAATTGTGTATTTTCCATAAGCCCACTTGTTTTCAGAAACATTTTCAAGGATGAGTACTATCCATTCAGGTATTTTCCTTGGACAGGCACTATGAGCTGATAGTGTCTCTCTGTGGATGAACACTATCTCGTCACATGATCAATTTAAACCAATAAGAATCAGAGAAAATTTAGTGGTGAACTATAAGTAACCATAGTATTGCACCTAAGTCTACCAATGACTGCTAAATGGAAATTATAGTGGAAGGAACACCCTTTGTTCTAAGGTAAGGGAGAATAAATATTAACCCAGTGGTAATATAATCTACATACAAATGTTCACTATATAAATTGTATCACAAGATTTACCTGCTCATTTTGCTATCGTAATCAACTGTGGATATAAAGTTGAAGACAAGAGTAAATATTGTTGTCTTCATTAATCAATTTTATAATTTATTATATATTAGCCCATTGATATGGTTGCCAGATTGTTGCAATATTCAATAACATACAATTTATATTCAGTAATTCATAGTTTTGGCCAGTAATTGTCATGCTATATTCAATGTGTCACATTTTTGATCAGTAAACTCATTTTACATTCAATGATTCATATTAACTGATTATATATTCAACACTGTTTTTGTTCAATAAAATATCTTTACCACAATTTTCCAAATTGTTGTTATTATGCATGCTGCCAAAATTTTATTGAATTCAAAATTTTTTATTCAATAATTTTTGCTATCCTATTAGTCAGCAGATAAATTTCACGCCCTGTTGAAGTTACATGACCTTCATCACCTTTTGCGGTACCAAAACGGTGGAACATACCCCGCCAATTTTTATTGCGGAGGACGTGGAAGAGGCTGGTCAAAGAGGAACTCAGAGAGACATCGCGTCATTTAGTAGAAGTAAAGGTAAGTCTTCATGCACTTTATTTTTCATTTTAGAGTATCTGGTGGACAATCCAGAGCAGGTTTCATTTGTATTTAGCATAAGTATGCCCAAACCTTTATACAGCATTGACAGTGGTTAGTTGTTTTTGTGACGAAGAATGGTAGGGTTTTTTTTATTTTTGTATTTAAAGTTGTAATTGGTGAAAAGATCTCTCGCTTTTAACAACAGATTTGAGACTCCCTGATGTTACATCAACTCCTTTACCTGGAAGATCACTTGTCAGTGGGGCACTAAGTTGCGCTAGCTAGGGACCAATCAGAGCAAAAAACCTTAGAGGTTTTGGTCGTTGACTTTATGGCTCTTGAAGAATTTGTTGATGAAAAGGGAAACATCCCTCATATGGTTCCTAACTAAAATTTAGTAACAGGTGACATTCACTTTTCTGGAACTGTTGATCTTATGACTAATGACAAGGAATATGTAATAAGATCAAAGGTAACTGAAGTTTTGGCCACAAAAATTCCTGGTATATTGCCAGATGATTTTTCTTTTTTTAAAGTGTCCAGGAAGCAAGCGTGTATACCAGCATGCAAAAAGGCGCAGAAATGGGATTTCCCTCAAGTCAAGACTATAGCTGGGCAGGGTAAGCTAAATGTTCGCCTACAAAAACCACAAGCTCTAACTGGTGCGGAAGAACCATCAACACTGAATGACCTTCCATCTACATGCATGTTGTCTGTTACTGAGTCTGCACTACACCCATTAAATGAATGTATTGCAGGAGGCAACACGTCTGCATCTACACTGTGTGATCCTCAGCCATCAACCTCAACTGGCAGTGTTTCATCAAGCAGCATCAAAGCAGGTCCTTCAAGCATCAGTAACAAAGGAACAGGGTCAGAATCTGTAGCTGTCAATATCTTGACTTGCAACCAGTCTCTTGATGAGGATGAGCAGAAAGACATGAAAAGGCTCAAAACAATGTTGCCTGATAAAGATGAATCATACCTCTCTGAAGTTACAAGAAACAACATAACTCTTAATGACAAAATTGATGATATTCTTGGTGTTGAAGCTCTCGAAGGTTGGTTTTGTTTTAGATAAAGTAAATGTGCTGATAAGAAATAAACTCTTAGAACATCGGTCATGGTGCAGCTGACATAGACATGCTGAACTATTGAAAAAATTTTAACTGAACAATGAGGGTGGAGCTGTACAGAACCTGTTAGTAGAGTTTTTTTTTTCTGCTCGATCTCTACTGGTAATAGAGACCCGGCAAAGTTTTCCATAGTTTCGGTTTCAGTAGCCCAATGAATCCACCACGTAGGGGGTTAGCCTTCGTAGCTTCACCAGAGGTCTGTTAGCCGCCCCGTTTCAGGGTTCCAGTCAGGCCCTCACGGTTACTGTAGCAGCCCTGAGGAATGAGGCTTCCCCACCGTACTTCACCCTGACTGGCGCTCCCCTACTTTAGGACGTTGCCCAGGGTGTACGACAGGGATGTGGAGCTGGACTTTACAACCCCGTTAGTAGAGTTAGTATTTTAAAATTAACTCATGGCTAAAAAAAAATATTTACCTGATCATCATTATATAGTTAACTTGAAAGGTGAAAACAATAACATTATCTTTTATGTCTCGCAAAAATAGTAAAATCTGGTAACCAAAATCACTTACATTTAGGTATGTAACAGAAGACCAGCGTAGTGGAGTTGATGTAATGTAATGGGTTTGCCTTTTTGAAGTAGTGTAGAAAAATACATAGATTTAGCCAAGCCTAAAAGTGGAGCTCCTGATTGTGATGATACGTGCTTCAAATGCACTTCTGGTGACGTAATCAGCATGTGAACCATCACGCTTTGCGATCTTTTGTATGCAGTTCCTGCCATGTTGTTTAGATATTAAAAGCAAGTAAGAAGCGACATCGCCTCCTTTATAGCTCACAGCTATTACATGGTGTTAGAAGTAAACTAAGCGGCATTGAATGCCCGGTTATGCAGTGGGATGGCGACAACCCGAAAGAAAACTGGCGGCGTTTCAAGCAACATGTTGAGCTGATGTTTACAGGACCTCTCAAATCCAGAATAGAAGAGGAGAAATGCAGCTATTTGCTCATCTGGGTCAGTCAGAAAGGAAGGGATATCTACAACAAGTGGTCTGACATCTTCGACGATGACCGTAAGAAATTAGGAACATACTACGAGCGTTTTGAGAGTCACTTAAGTCCCAAAGCAAATCCTGTTTTCGCCAGGTTCAAATTCCACAGTTGAGTTCAAGACTCCTCAGAAATGGCAGAGAAATTCATCACGGCATTACGAATTCTAGCCCAAGATTGCGATTTCAAAGACCCAGAAGAAATGATAAGAGACTGAATAGTCTTCGGTACAAACTCCAACACCCTTCGAATCCATTGTTTTTGAATCAGTCACAATAGCAAATTTAACACATGGGTCACCAGAGTCTAGTCGAGATGAAGTATTTGTATCCATTCAAGTAAACCTGGCACAGAGCAATAACAGAAAGAGCACACTAAGAGCCAAGCTTGACACTGGGGTGCAGGGCAACATACTACCCATGAGGCTTTACCGTGAGATGTATCCACATCAAGTAGACAACAATGGTAAACTCAAACCCAATGCACTGTTGTCCTCGAATGTTGTGCTCACCACCTACGAAGGCTTGCAAATTAAACACCATGGCATAGTCACCATACCCTGCACTTATGGGAAAGAGAGCACACTTGCACCCTTTTACGTCAGTGACATCCCAGGTCCCGTAATTATTGGCCTACCTACCTCCACTGACCTGAATCTGCTACAGTTCAATTGTGCTATACAGACACAACATCCCCACACCAGCAGTGATGGATGCCTAAAGGACAAGACTCCTGAGGAAGCCTAGGAAACCATCCTGATGAGAGACAAGCAGGATCTGATTACACAATACCCTGAGTCTTTTAATGGCATCGGGAAATTTCAAGGAGAGTACCACATTACAGTCGACCCCAATGTTCCACCAGTGATTCATCCTCCACGACGCGTGCCAATCAGCCTCAAAGACAGCATCAAAAGTGAATTAGATGATATGGTCAAGAATGGCATCATCACAAAACTTGAGGAAGGTGAACCCACACCCTGAGTTAACAGTCTAGCCTACCGACGGAAACAAAATGGGAGGTTGAGACTCTGCTTGGACCCCAAAGATCTCAATGCAGCCATCCAGAGAGAACACCATGTCACCCCCACACTAGAAGAGATCCTACCCAAATTGACCGGAGCTACAGTTTTCTCCATTGTTGATACTAAGTGCGGATACTGGAACGTTGTTCTTGACAAGGAGTCGAGTTACCTCACCACATTCAACTCCCCTTTTGGTAGATACAGATTCAACCGCAAGCCCTTTGGCCTAAAAATGTCACAAGACATCTTTCAGACCAAAATTGACCAAACATTTGAAGGATGCGAAGGAGTGGCAGGAATTGCAGACAACATCGTGGTTTCTGGAAAAACCAGCGAGGAACATGACTGCAACATGCATGGTATGCTAAAACAATGCCAAGATACAGGCCTGAAACTGAACCCAGATAAATGCTTTGTGAAGCAGGAGAAAATCAGATTTTATGATGTTGTCTGTAGCCAAGATGGAATCCAGCCAGATCCAAACAAAATCTCAGCCCCAACTAACCGCCAAGAACTACAGACCTTCTTAGGTCTGGCGAACTACATGGGTCCCTTCATCCCAAATCTAAGCACACTAACAGCCCCACTTCGAGAGCTCCTAAAGGAAAGCCACCAATTTGACTGGAGCCCAGCACACCAAGAAGCCTACAACAAAGTCAAGGACTCCATCAGTAGTGAAGTTACTCTAACCTATTTTGATCCAAAGAAGGAGATCACCTTACAAGTTGATGCTTCGCTGAAAGGCCTGGGCCCAGCACTCTTACAAGACAATAAGCCTGTTGCTGTTGCGAGCAAAGCACTCACTGATGTCGAAACAAGATACGCAAACATTGATTGAGAACTACTCACTGTAGTGTATGGGTGTGAGAAGTTTCACACTTACCTGTTTGGTCACAATTTCACTGTCAACACTGACCACAAGCCTCGAAAGTATTCACCTGAAACACTTGACAGTCGCACCCCTGTGTCTTCAGAGGATGCTACTGAGACTGCAGCCATATGACCTTGTCATTCGCTACCAACCAGGCAAGAGCATCGAAATCACGCATGCACTCTCCAGGTTATCACCACAAGAAAACGAGGCCATCCCTGGGATGAATGTCCAAGTGCATGACATCCACCCTCAATTCAGTAACAGCATTCTGCAAAGAATTACAGAACAAACTGCATCAGACCCAGAGCTCACCGCTCTGAAGGAAATGATCCATTCTGGTTGGCCATTGACCATCCAGCAAGTCCCAGTGCCCTTAAAGCCTTATTGGCCCTTTCGCGATGAGCTTGCTGTAGATGATGGGATAGCCATGAAAAGTCACCGCATCATTATCCCCACCATACTACAGAGGGAAATCTTGACAAAGCTCCATGCAGCACACCAAGGAACTGAGAAGACAAAGCTCAGGGCTAGGTCGTCAGTATACTGGAGAGGGCTAAACAAAGACATAGATGAGATGACCAAGACATGTAGCACTTGCCAGGAGCTACACCCGAGCCAGCAAAGAGAGCCCCTGATCCCCACAGAGGTGCCACCAAGGGCATGGCATACTATTGGCACAGACCTCTTTACCTTAGAGGGTTCAGAGTACCTAGTAGTCACTGATTACTACTTGAAGTATCCATTCGTTAGGCAGATACCAAGAGGACAAAGCAACAGCCACACAGTAGTCAAAATGCTGAGACAGACTTTCAGCAAGCAAGGAATTCCCAAGGTAGTAAGATCTGATAATGGGCCCCACTACAGTGGTCAAGCATTCCAAGAATTTGCAAGAGAACTGGGTTTCCAGCATGTGACAAGTTCCCCACACTATCCACGCAGCAATGGTTTTATTGAAAGCCGAGTAAAATCAGTTAAAGCTGCTCTTCTCAAAGCGAAAACCACCCACAGGGACCCTGACATGGCCCTCCTGTGCCTGAGAACCACACCCACTGATCACAAACTGCCATCACCTGCTGAACTACTTCTCGGTCGAGCAATCCAGGACAACCTCCCAAGGAAAATCCCCAGAGATGCCTTAAGGTGGCTCCCTATAGTTTTACGATCGCACGTGCGCTGAGGATGAAAGCTTGAGTAATCTGCGCATGCTCAAAGGAAAATGTCAGTGTTTTTTGATATTTTATTACGTCAACATGAGTACAACAAGCAAAACTGACAGTGAATTTTCTCGCGTTTCCTT